CAGAGAAATGGCTCTGGCATCTTCCCTCACAGCTCTCTGCCAAAGCACTGTTGTCGTGACCTGCCAGAGTCTTCTCTCTTCAGCTGAATCTTCCTTATGAACATGCTGCAACACGCTGAATTGTGACTGATTATATGACTGTTTCTGATAAGGACAAATACTTGAGAGGGATTTAAGATGAACAGACACTGACATTTTCCTTTGGGATTCCAATCAGGATTAAGCTCGATGAGTCCAGGCCGAAAGTGCATTAAAAGCTGTAAGCCATCTCCAGCTCTCCACCGTACCTTCCTTACATAGTTGACAAAGTCTAATTGGAGACAATACTGACAGGATACTCAGTTGTTGTTTGACTTGAGATCCCAAATAAATGAATGAAATGAGAATTGATTAGACCATTTTCTACATATTTGCTTTTCATTTCCTTTTGTATTACCTTAAAAAAACAGTCTGTAATACAAGAAATCCTTCAACGAACAAATCTTTGTTGTACAAGATTACAGCTGCCTCCCACTCTCCCTGACAAGATAATTGCAGTTGAATGGTGTGCAAGCATCAGAGGTAATAAAACGTTGCATTCCTTGAGGCAGAACCAGTATTAATTGTGAATGCAAGTACCTGGCTGACACACCTCTTTATTTGTGGTACTACACATCCCTATTGCACAACGTTCTGTTGTACAAGAACACAGAACATAATTAGCAACATAGGGTGTCAAACAGATCATTTCCCTTCTCTTTCCCCACGTTTCAGCTCATACGGATCACACATCCCAAGCCAAAGCCATCGGCATCCATTATGGCTGGAGCGCTGTGAAGGAAATCCTGCTGCTGCGGTGACTTGTGTGCTCCAACAGCTTGGGTCCTTAGTGCACATTTCTGGGTCTTGAGGGACAAATTCCTGTTACAGGTGAGGCCGGTGGCCGGCGGCGAGGGGAGCCAGATCTCCGTCGTGAACAGTACAAGCAGACTTAGCGCCAAAGCCTCTGTAATCGGACCTGTTGGAGCGGGGCCAGAGGAGGCCCCAGCAATGATCCGAGGGCTGGAACCCCTCTGCTGGGAGGAAAGGCTGGGAGAGCTGGGGCTGTTCAGCCTGGGGAAGAGAAGGCTCCAGGGAGGCCTTAGAGCAGCTGCCAGTGCCTGGAGGGGCTGCGAGAGAGCTGGAGAGGGGCTGTGACAAGGGCATGGGGTGATAGGACAAGGGGGGATGGCTTTAGTTTGAGAGAGGAGAGATTCAGACTGGACAGAGGGAAGAAATTCTTTATGATGAGGGTGGTGAGGCCCTGGCCCAGGTTGCCCAGAGAGGTGGTCAATGCCCCATCCCTGGAAACACTGAAGGCCAGGTTGGACAGGGCTCTGAGCACCCTGATCCAGCTGAAGATGTCCCTGCTCACTGCGGGGGGGTCGGGCTAGATGGCCTTGAAATGTCCCTTCCAACCCAAAGCATAATGTGATTCTCGTTCTGCAGGGCTTTGTCTCACCAGGGAGGCTCTAGGTGTAACAGTTAAAGCAGCGGCCAGTGATGGTCACTACAGCCTTTTTAGGTGAAAGTATCTACCTTGAAGGGATCAAACCGCTGCTCTCCATGTTGTGGGGGAAGACCACTATTCCCCAGTCCCAAGGTACAACAGCATTGCTGCAGCCACCCTCTGTTTCTTCACCTTCCACGGCTTTTCTGATGCGAGTGACCCTCCGGTGTGGTTTAGGAGAGGCCTGGAATGGGGACTTGAACACGGAACATCAGGTCTTCCAGCGCAGTCCAGTCAAACGGCCTTGGGAGTAACTGTACCTGTGTGGCTCGAGGCTACGGGAAGCGAGAAACAAACAGCGTGCTAATAAATAAGGGCTAATGACGCGTCAAATTCGTTATATGTAGAAAAGTAAGTGACGGCAGAGGAAGACTTTGGTTGTTTCAGGGCTTCCTGGGCTGCCGGGGCAGAGCGGGGGCTGCCCCCCGCACCCCCCGCCCCGCACTCGCCAGCTCGTTCTTCTTACCTGTTAATTAGCATTCACTAAAGTTAATTTTTAAACCTGTTTTACTGAGTTTCACTGGTCATAATGACACCGCAGCAGTTTTATGGGAGTAGCTTGGGGGTGAGATGAGTGATTTTATACCGAAAGAGCAACTTTATGTGCGCAACAACCCATCTCCTGGAGACAGCGCATTTGCTAGTTTCCCCTCTTATTCCGGTGATGGAAACGAAGCTTCCGCTCATCTCTCATTGCGACAATTAATTGCGCGTAAAGCTTTCCACGACCTGGGAGTGCTGGGAGATGACAGGTTGACCATGAGCCAGCAGTGTGCCCTGGCTGCCAAGAAGGCCAATGGCATCCTGGGGTGCATCAAGAGGAGTGTGGCCAGCAGGGCGAGGGAGGTTCTCCTCCCCCTCTGCTCTGCCCTGGTGAGGCCCCATCTGGAGTCCTGTGTCCAGTTCTGGGCTCCCCACTTCAAGAAAGATGAGGAGCTGCTGGAGAGAGTCCAGTGG